ACTACACACATCACACTCAAGTCCGGAACTGATTGTACTTTTTCCTTAATATCCAGTAGTATTAATAAGATATAATCCTGTTATCAGTATTATATTCGTCGCAAAACAAACAACTGATTATTGCAACAGAAAATACTTCGAATGCTCTTTATGCTACGATATTTCATAGCGATAATACAACCTAGAAATACAACGAACAAACCTCACGGCTATAGATCTAGCGTGTAGTTCTGTGATTCAAATCATATTAACTTTTTAACTGTGGCTTATTTACTTAAGTTTAAATCTAATGAATTCTGAATTGGTCAATTAAGTGCGATCAACTGAGAAATACAGGTACATAAAACACGATTATCGTTGTTTATTATTTTTTTAATATTCTGTGGTCTATGAGACGATGATGATATGTAACTTTAGTTCTGTTCACAAAACATATGTTCTGTTTTCTGTTGTGGACTTGTGGAGCGTGGAGCGCAGGAGCGGAGCGGATATTAAATTGACATTTGACATATAGAGGAGAGGAAGGTCATGATGGTTATGTCTATGATTAGAAGAATGTTTTTATACAAATTTTATTAAAAATGTAGCATATATTTTCTTCTTACTACACCTGGATTATTTGTGTTAGCGAACTACTTTGGTTATACAAGCCATAGGAGCTGGAGTTAGGAATTCAATACCAACCACATTTACTGGTGTCACTGTCGAGTACAATAGTCTCTAATATTGTGTACAATTATGTCGATTTACAGATATTTATTACATATTGCTTATATAGGAAAACCATTTAGGTAGTATTTCCTACACGCTGAATCAGTTGGGTGTTTAAAAATTGAAAATATCAAATCTTTTTAGAGGCGCACAGAGGCAGGTTAAAGGTACTTTTCCAAGGGCAGATGACCCACTGACTGTTCAAGGAAGATTAGAAATGGCTTTGAAGCGATTAAAGCCATCAAACGAACCAATTGTAAATATGTCGAGCAGGTATATCGAATTTCTTAGGAAAAAAATTAAGACTGCTAAATGCCATTGGTTTTATAAGCTACACTAGCTTTAAAACTATTTTGTTTTCTACAATTGTGAATCCACATTTACAAGTAATTGAATAAGATACTGAATATTTGAAAATATTACTGCTTCGGCAAAAACTATACATCAAAACTTTTAAAAGCGTTAGATAATTACCAATATGCTTCTCTTTTTGAAATACGAATTGTATCTGTAACAAAAGAACAGTTAAATAAAATAAGCTGGAGAAAATGAAAAGTATTTAATAAAGCTAAACGTTTTGTTATTTGTTCTCCATGGTGAAATATTTTTTTGTAAAATTAGCTTTACAATTAATAAACAAAATTAATTATTTGTAGTTCTCCAAAATTTTAGGACAGATTCGGGAGTACACGCTATTAACGGGACATGCCATGTAGACTTGCTTAGAAAAAATGAAACGGTATATGAGCCTCGATCCATAACACTTTGTTTAAACAGATACTTTAAGAAACAAGAGGTGCCTATCAGAATAATAAAAACTCATATTGTACCCCAAACTTTCCATAGCAGACATAACGCTATATCTAGAACGTACTTGTACAGGATGGTTATAGCTAAAGCTGATAGTATGAACGTAGCTCCCAATCTTCACTATATTCCTATAGAAGAGTGGGACCGATGTTTATTTTTCTGGTAAGTTAAGAGTCAAGGGTTCGTTTAATTTCTCATGAAATTTATTTAGTACAAATACATTTGATCTTGACCGTATGAAGGAAGCCGCAAAGCTATTAGAAGGCTACCACGATTTTAGAACTTTTATGGGCAAAAATTCTGGAAGTGATGAAAAGTGTACGAGAAAAGTCATGGATTACATCAAAGTTAAGACTGTAGATAAAACCGGTTACAGCAATGTGTACAGTTGGCCTTCTTTCATTCACAATGACGTGGACGATTATTTGTTTGTAGATGTTTACTTGAAATCGAAGAGTTTTCTGTACAGACAGGTAAGAAGTTAATTTGATGAGAAGGTAATCTAAAACATTGTGATGAAATTCTGACGGTTAAGGATACATTATTTATTTATTTACTGACCTCACCAACGAATTGTAGAATTCGTTGGACCTCACCATTTAACCCTTCAAATTTGAGTGAACTCCAAAATGTGTGCCATTGACTACCTTATCTAATTAAAACTTGATAAATGTAATCTTTGTTGTTATTATGAATGAATTACCAGAATGACTAAAATAATGATGAAGCTAAACAAATGATAGTGAACAATAAATATCAACTGGTAACTATGCACAAATTAAAAGCAATGGTTAATAATGACAATAATCTTTTATATAAAATTGCATAAGATGGTTTTGTTTTTATAAATAAACCCAAAACGCTCGTAGTTTTGGTTCAATATTGTTTATAATAGGTCTTGGTTTTGATTAGTTGCTTAATCGGAAATTGTAAATAAAAATATCGACAGTGACATTGACGTCGATGTTTTAGCCACGTTTTATCGTATCGTATCGTGTGCCTGCCTTTGTCTATTTCATTTCCTTAATTTCATTTCAAGATTGCTTAGGCATCTCGGTTTCAAACAGCAGTTATTAATTAAATATGGATTAAACGTATGTATAATTACGAAAAGAATATTAAATAAAATATTTGAAAAATAAATAAATCCGTATTTACATAATATTTTGCCATTTTATTATTGTAAAGATTTTTTTTACCATTCATTAAAGATTAGATATCTGATTCAAGCTCAAGCGGCGTCGCCAGATTGAGCTAAATGAAGAGTGTACGATACCGATACCTACCACAGATCAAATAAATTTGACAAAATTAAAAATCGGTTTCAAATTCAATGTTGATTTTCACGTAATCAGCTAATGTAATTTTCATGACTTTTTTTAAATATAAAATGTGTTTGAGGTGATTTTGTGCGAACTTAAAATAAAAAAAAACTAATAATTGAAAATAAATGCGTGTAAGTGGTAAAAATGAACGAAAAGGAGGAATTCGCTAAAAAATAGTAACGAATTTTGCGACTGCAAACTTACGTTAACCCTTCTACCTAACTTTCAACTTACAGATCTAAACATTTCTCATAGAAATACAAAAAGTACTTAATTAATAAGGTTGATTAAAGCACAAAATCACTATATTACAGTTAGGGAAATCGTATTAAATGCCTTGAGCATATAATTACATTCATCTTAAAAATTATGAATATATGGAAAAATACGTCATTCAATAATATTTACAATTCATTCGTAATATTATTATTGAATGGCACATTGGCAGTTATGACTTTCCTTTAATTTGCTTAAAACAAATACAACCGGCAACAACGATGACGCTCTAATAAAATTAGATTGATAAAGTTGGCAGCACGCGGTGGAATTTCACTAGAAAGTTCTTTCGACTTTGAGCTTTATAGGCGTCGTGAAGTCCATTTTCGACGTGAGTTTTTGTTTATAGACTAGTAAAAGCTTCCTTGTGCCAGTTCGTCAGATCCTTCAAACGCAAGTAAATAAATTTTATTATAGATATTTGTGGGTGAGTGGTCTTTATTGTATCTCTGGATGTTTATTTAATAGACACGTTTCTTAACCTAGAAGCGGCCGGTGGACTTGGAGGGAAACATTGCAAAATGGCTTCCAAGTAAAGCCGTTGAAAAGGTATTTAGAGTAAAGCAATTTTTTTGTATACAGGTCCGAAGGACGGTGGCGTCGCTGGTAGCAGTAGCACAAGGTAAAGTCACTATTAGAGATATTAAATTTATGCTGGAAATTCCTTCCCATCGATCGTGGTGCCCCCAGATAAAAACACTGCCGGCGCACGGACTCTATCTTTGCGAAGTAGAGTACGCGAAAGAGGACTGGGACACTTTTACGAGTTTTCCGAGGGCCTAATTGTTTACAATGGTAGGGTCTAGAGTATATGTAGGTGGGCTGCCTTATGGGACCACAGAGCGGGACCTGGAGCGCTTTTTCAGAGGGTACGGCCGGATGAGGGACGTTCTCATTAAAAACGGATACGGGTTTGTTGAGTTTGACGATTATAGAGATGCTGATGATGCTGTGTATGAATTAAACGGTAAAAAACTTTTAGGGGAGCGTGTGACTGTGGAAAGAGCCCGAGGGACGCCCAGGGGTCGTGACCAGTGGTCATCCAGCCGCAATGACCACCGCTCCCACGAACGCTATGGACCACCAACCCGGACCAACTACCGGTTGATCGTCGAGAACCTATCCTCCCGTATCAGTTGGCAGGATTTGAAAGATTACATGCGCCAGGCCGGCGAAGTCACTTACGCGGACGCACATAAGCAGCATCGCAATGAGGGGGTCGTCGAATTCGCGTCTTACTCTGACATGAAAAATGCCATCGAGAAACTCGACGACACCGAGTTGAACGGCAGACGCATACGCCTAGTCGAGGACAAAAACACTAAACGCAGACGTTCCGGGTCCTACAGCAGCCGCAGCAGGTCACGCAGCCGTTCTGCCAGACGTTCTAGGTCTCGCAGCCGCTCCAGGCGAAGCTCCCACTCAAAGAGCAAGTCCAGGTCGAGATCTCGCTCGGGCAGCGCCAAGGCCGACCGAGACCGCGCCAGCAAATCTAAGTCTAGGTCCCGATCAAGGTCTAATTCTCGCAAGAAGTCTGTGGATCGTTCAAGGTCAAACTCTAGAAAGAAGTCGACCGAACGCTCTCGCTCGAGGTCGCGCTCTCGCACCCCGGATAAACGATCAAAGTCTCGCGAGGCGTCCAAGGAGAGGTCCAGGTCTAGATCACGTTCTGCCAGCAAGGGCCGGAGCAAGTCCAGGAGTCGGTCAGGATCAGCAAACTAAATTAAAACTTATCGCAAAACCAGGAGAACAGTTCTAGTGTGTATAATTTTAAGGAATTAGTAGTTGGTCTGTAACATAAATACCATTACGATGTTTTAATATTTAAACAAACTGTATGTTATTAAATATTTCATATATAAACTAGAGAAATTTTGGTTTCATTTATATATAAACTTAGTATTGTCGGTACTACGTAAAGGAAACGTTTATTTTCTAACAGACAATTTGAATATTTCCACTTATTTCACAGTACGTTTGTAAATTATTCTAGTAAATTAAATTACGTTTAGAGAAAGCAGCACTTGAATTGCATCTGCACTTTGGCCGATACACTTCCTTAACCGAACTACGACATGAGCCTTTTGGAGTCTATCCGAGCCAAAAAAGAAGGATTAAAATTGACGGAAACCTTAATCACACACGTCGATGGTAGGAGATTCAAGGAAACCAAAGATTCCACCACGGAAGTTGTTAAAAGTCGATACGGATACGTAGTAGATACTAAACCGGACGATGTCCCAGCGGAAGTACTTCCGTTCTTATATCTGGGCTCGCAGGATTGCTGCGACGAATGCGTGCTGAGGAAATATGACTTAACGTGTGTTCTGAGCGTGGGCATAGAGGCTCCTGTGAGATATTCAGGAATAACGTATAAATACATCACTTGTTTGGATTTACCAGAGACTGACTTGGAGAGTACTTTAAAGGAGTGTATCCCGTTCGTGCAACAGGCAAAGTGTCAGAACAGAAACGTCCTAGTGCATTGCAATGCAGGTGTAAGCCGGTCTGCGTCGGTTATTATAGGTTACTTAATTTTAGTTGAGGGTTATTCTTATGTAGAAGCTTACGATATTGTAAAAACCGCTAGAAATTGTATTAAGCCCAACACTGGTTTTGAGAAGCAGTTACGATGTTTAAGTAGCAGTAAAATATTTTTTTAAGTGAGTTTTTTAAAACTTGTATACATATTATTTTCAAGGTAGTTAACTTTTGTTTGTATGATTTTTTGGTGTTGCTGATTACTGTGTAATATTAAGGATTTTGGGTAAATATATTTTTGTGTATTTACTTCAATAAAATTTTATATTTAGCTGGGCGAGTCGCTGATTTCCAACCTTTCATGTAGGATTTTTAGAAATTTAATAAACAAGATGAATCGATAACAGATTGATTTGTAGTGGTGCCAAATGTTGCTCAATACATGTTGGGATTTTATGACGAATATTTCAGCATAATAAAAATAGCAAGATTGTGTAATTTAGTGCTAATGGTATTGGCGATCTACAGGGTGTTCCTAAATAAGTGTCGCAACGGAAAACTGTAAATTCCTCTTGAAAAAAGAAACATTTTTTTCCCTCTTCCATTTTTCTCTCCGGGCTTTCGTTTTCGAGATACACGGTTTCAAAACTTTAATTTTTTTTTAGTTTTTCGCTAATATTTTAGGAATCGTTTGAACTACAGGACTGAGCTTTTGTACATACATTACCACTATTAATAGCTACTTTTTTGCACCTTTCTCAAATTCATTGGACGTGCCAATGGTGGAGATTTTAAGGTATTGTAAGGGTTTTCCCCCCCTAAATTTTATGCCACTGGAAAAATTTTTGACAGCAAATTCTAAAGCGCCAATGAATTTTACACAATAAGAGTTCTCTTGGTTCATGGCTCTAAAGTCAACCGTTTTCAAGAAAAATGACTTTTTATGAACAAAAGCAAACATTTTGCTAACGTTTCGAAAATCTTTTGTAATTCAAAAAATAGGTAGTAATAATTAACAATTTTAACGAAATTTAACAACAGATAGGATTTTAACTTTTTTTTATCAATTTGGCGAGTAAAATTTACAGAAACTGTTCAAAATTACGTCCGTTGNATTTTTCTTGAAAACGGTTGACTTTAGAGCAATGAACCAAGAGAACTCTTATTGTGTAAAATTCATTGGCGCTTTAGAATTTGCTGTCAAAAGTCCATTTTTCCAGTGGCGTAAAATTTGGGGGGGGGGAAACCCTTACGATACCTTAAAATCTCCACCACTGGCACGGCCAATGAATTCGAGAAGGGTGCGAAAAAGTAGCTATTAATAATGGTAATGTGTGTACAAAAGCTCAGTCCTGTAGTTCAAACGATTCCTAAGATATTGGCGAAAAACTAAAAAAAATATTAAAGTTTTGACACCTTGTATCTCGAAAACGAAAGCCCGGCGAGAAAAATGGAAGAGGAAAATAAAGGTTTCTTTTTCCAAGAGGAATTTACAGTTTTCCGTTGCGAAACTTATTTAGGAACACCCTGTAGATTATTCTTCAGTAACAATGGTAGGATAAATTTGATAGAAATTTCAGTTCTCGATATATACAGTGTTGGAAAGGTTTTTCCCTAAAATTTGAAACACCTTGTATGGTGTGACAGCTAAAATAGGGAACGTGTACCTGAATAAAGTTCATCAGCTTAATAAAGTGGAAAGTGACTGTCTATAGTTGCCCAACACCCAAGAAAAAATAGTAATTTTGTAATAAGAGAAGAAAGTGCCAAAAAAAAATTTCGTATGGAGTAGGATGCCTCGTACATTATGCCAAAGTAAGGATTTTCTCACAACTATACCGATGCAAATGTAATATTTTTTTGTCTTCGTCTAGAAAAAAATAAAATGATTTTTTTAAATTATGTAATCGCTCGTCACTTATGAGTCAATTTAATTTCAGCGGATATAGATCGTAACTAAAATATGAAATATTAAAAAAGTTGTTTTTAATAAAAGATACAAAAAATTAAATCTTTTGAAAATAATGTGATGCTATGAAACAGTGAAATCACAAAAAAAAATTCCTTTGTTTATTTTGAAGTGACTGAACTGAACATGTACGAGTAGATAAAATAACATTTCATTAGTCTGAGATTAAATTTTGATAACGAAACATACCTATACCATTTTTTAGATGTTTTCTACGCTCAAAGAATTTTCATGATGAAAAAATTTGCAAAATGAAAAATTAAAATAAGGGTGGCCGACCCTGAGATCTCAAAAAAGGTTGCAAATACAGGCTGTTACAAATTAGTTTCTCACTACAGGGATCTCGGAAGCGGTAAGAGATACGAAGTAGCTTCAATGGGGGCAAAGTTGCATAATTAGGGGATCAACATTATGCCTCTAAGAAAATCAAGGCTAACATGATTAGTTTTCAAAATATTTGAAAAACGAAATTTTGGAAATCGTTTTTATTTCATTTCAGCCTTGTTGGAGGTGATATTGAAAAAAGAAGAGCACTTTCTCATGGCAACTTTTTGCCCTCTATCGAGTGGCATAATCAATTTTTATATGTAACGTTTTGTCTCTTCAGGACTGTCGTCAACTTCATTTTTTTAAATACGACCCTGGAAATTTTATTACATTTTTTGCAAGCCTTCATGACCCCCCAATACTGTACTGACTCGACCCGAACCAGATTCAAACGTTTTGTCTCGAAAATTCATCAATGTATTCCAAATATATCAAATTTTTTTAGATTTCTATGTTTCTTGAATTATCGTACACTCTAAATGTCGTTAGACCCTATGAAATCCTTCTAGTTATTTAAAGTATTACCATCACACACATTACAATAAAACATTATTAGATTTATCGAGTGCTCAAAATTCAAATAAATTTCGATCTAATTTTTTTTCAGGATATTCATACAAATACGTCTGACATGCTCTTTTGGTTGCGGTTACAGGTATAATAAATTCCGATCATATTATGCTTATCTTAATTTTCAATATTAGCCAAAACGGAAACATTTTTGAACATTGATTTGCTGTAATTTTTTAAAGTGTAATATTCACTTGGAGTTTTTAATTTCTCATAATGAAATAAAAATTATAATAATGTTTTATTTTTGTCGTAACAACTTATCGAATTATGCATGACCAGGTGATGGAGATTAAAACTCTAATAATGTAATGGTAATCGATTTATCATACCCCATGAAAATTCGGATTTCCAGCTGTCGGACAGAAAAAATGCGGCTTGAAATTTGTCGGACAACAATACTTTTTGGCTGAATTAATTATTTACAATTAATTTTACTAAAAATTACCTATGTGGTAATTGATTTTCAATACCCTGTTATTTTGGCATGTTTTGCCCGGTAGACATGTCAATGTCGGAAGAATTTCTGTCGGACAAATTTAAATCGGCATTTGCAACAAAATTTCCAGTTACTTAAGCAAAAAATAAAAGATGTGGTCTTGACTTTTCAAGACCCCGGGAAATTGCCATGTTTTTGGACTTTTCCGAGTGGAAAAGTGGAGGAATTGAGAAAAGTCGCAGAGGAAAAATGTAGACTCGTCAAAAGGATGCCCCTCAGGAGTTATAAAGTATGTGGTAATCAACTTTCCAAGGGGGAGTTGTACTGTGGACTAAAATGTTTTATCATGAAAGTTCCCCATGACCCTAGAAATCATCCCCTAAAAAACAATGTGGGTCCCACACTTCATTATAAAAATATGATCACTATAATTTTTATGAGACATCACTTTATTTCATACTCGATGTGAAATAATTTTTATTAGGGTTATTTCAGAAATTTTCAATATTAAGCAAATCAAATGAACATATGAAAAAAGTTATAAAATTTTTATAAGTAGTTTGAAGTGTTTTGTTATTGAAAAAAGATCGTAAAAAGAAAAGGATATTTAGATTGCACCAGTTTTATGTTTTTATCAAAGTAATAATAAGTATTTTTCACATATTGCCTTCCTTATTTATACCTATATCTGCATTTGTTAACAAACTGCAACAAAAAAATTATCAGAACTTCTCTAATTTTCATCTCTTGTTGCAATATGTAGTTATATTCTACTCGTACAGGATGTTTCAGAAATAATTTTATGAATAATTTTAATTTGGGCAGTTAAAATAAGGAAAAAGAAAGGTTTTATTTTTGATATCATGAAAATAACAAAGCTTCATTATTAGACAATTATAACCAGCAGCGTTAATAATTAGTACGTTTTAAACAGAAACTTAAACTTGGAAGTTTGAGCCTTGTTCCGTAAAATTGAATTTGAAGTTAAAATAGACACCAAGATCTTTTTTAAATTCAAATCTATTCAAAACACTATCGTTAATATAGTAATTATACATGATTGGATGAGATTTCCTTGTGTAGATCATTATGATGCTACATTTATCAGGATATAAGGCTAAATTATTTTATTTATAGCCACCATATCAACGCTTTAGTACGAAAACGTGCTAGCTCAGATCTTTAAGTAAAAACATGCTATCTTAGAACTTACTAGAAATTTAAATTTGCATGAAATTGGAATGATTGAAACCGTGCATTTATAATAAACGTATAATATATTTTTCAAAAAGTAAGGAATATTTAAGATCTGAGCTAGCATGTTTTCTAAGCTTAATTTGAGATAGCATGTTTTCCAACCGAAATTTGAGATAACATTTTTTCCAACTGAAATCTGATATAGCATGTTTTCGTATTAAAGCGTCGATATATTCTAAAGAGTCCTAGAATCTTCAATATCTTTTATTTTCATAACAATAACATAATAAAAAAAGAAGTGGTCTTAAGATGGTACCTTGCGGTACACCTGTCAGCTGTTGAGTCATTTGACTGAAATCAAGACCACAAGTGAAGTTAAACAAAAATTATGTTGTTTTTGTTCTCGGGCTAGGCTTTGTAGGGGTGGACCCACTATCACAAGTTCTCGGTTCTAGTGCCACTATAGATGAAACCACTTCTCAGATGATGATGATCCCGTCATACATTCCGTAGTTGTCGTCTGTAACGTAGCCCCATAAAAAGAAAAGGTTGTCATCTGGATGACTGACTATGGTATTTCTATGTACTTTTCGACGCTGAAACCTAATCCGAGACCAAAAAAATTCGTATACCACTTAAATTTATGTGTAGAGCCAAAAACATCCCTTAAATAGGGATAAAGTATCTTCGACAGGTATGGGCAAGGCAGTTTGAGGGCTGTTCTGCTCAGTGCATTGCGACCATTGCATAGTAAATATAAGAAAAATTGCTTTCCCACATTTTCCTCCATCCTATCCATCAGAGGGTAGTTTTCACCCCTTTAGGGGGTTGGTTCTTTGACTGTGTTCATCCTTTACCACGTCTCTCAGGAGCTTGCAAGTTAGAAGTTTTCATGAGGCAGATCTATATCCGGAAAGGTATAGAAGTAGAAGAGATGTAAAAGGCATACCAACCCCTTCGGGGAGGCCTTGGCGATAATAAATGCGAGCACGAGAGTTGCAAAGTGCCTGTTCATACTGTGTTCCGTAATGATACCGATATTCATAACATTAACCCTATTTAAGGGATGTTTTTGGCTCTACACATAAATTTAAGGGGTTTACGAAATTTTTTGACCTCGGATTCGGATTCAGCATAAAAAAAATACATAAGACTACCACGGTGAGTCATCCACATCACGACTTTTTTTTTGTGGGACTGTCGCATCATCTTTAGTAGTACATCTGTAAATGCTTTGCCACGGATTACGACGAAGCTTTTGTCGATTAAGTTTGACATCTCTGTTATTAATTGAGATACACACAAATTAAGAGGCATCAATTTTTTTCCCAACGATGGAGCATTATTGTTTTTTTATTAATGACTTTTGAAAATATCATTCATTTGAACAACGGAGAACAATTAAAGGAAAATCCGGAAGGTAGACAGGTTTACAGGAATTAAATATGCTCAGATAAAAATATATTTATTTTTATAAAACAGTTTAATAGTTACATAACAGATAAAAGAACAACTCGATATATATTTACTAAAAACAATTTGGGCGTTACAAATAAAAAAATTCAGTCTCTCCCTTTTTTTTTGTGGTCCGAAGTGGTAAAAAAATCTTTAATAGACTTTTTAAATATAAAAAATATAAATTTCATTTCTTTTTTGCTAACTTGTATAAATTACATATAAAATCTTTCATAAACTGGACAACATTAAAAAACCGGTTGCCTTATATAAAAATTACCGTTTCTTCAATAATACATAATTACAAAACAAAGAATCTCGCGGTACTACTAGCTTCTTTAAACGAACTTTTAAATAGCCGTTCGACTAGAACTTATACCTCTGGCAGGCAAGGAGTTGCTTTTCCCGGGTAATTCCTTAGCGTGAGAGTGAGCAACGACTATACTTAAACACTGGACCCATTCCTCGGCGTTTTTCCCGTCCTTCGGCTTGAGGATCAACGTCTGATTTTCGGTAAAGATTTCGAACGCTTTTGGAATGTTTCTCGCTCCCCGAGACACCTTTACCGACCTGATCTGGTTGACGTCAATCGATTCGCCACCACCCTGCGAGTGAATGGGAAAAAATTAAGTCCAGTCGATTCGACGTCGGCAATTTGCACTTACCGAACCTCTGCATGAAAGATGTGCACCTGACAAAGTGAAGTATCTAGTTCGCCACCTTCGAAATAGCCTCCATCTGCCCTTCTTTTCTTTTAGTTGGCCTTCGATGACTGGTTGGGTATCGTCTGTAAGAATACAAGTAGTCTCAGCAAGTTTGCGGGTACAAACTATTGCTTTGTGTTTCCCACAATATCGTCAATTAAAAGGCTTATTTTGCATACTACTACTCATGCTCTCATAGTACCTACAGATTAGTAGGTCACTTGCCAGTAGGCACAAAGTACTGCTTTATGCTAGTAGGCACTGAATGACAATTAACCTTTAAAACACTTTGTAGGTTATATCTCTCCCACATTTATTGCGTCATTTAATACCTTAAAAACTAAAACTTCAGTTTCACTATAAAACATTCAAGTAGTTCATATGTAAAAGATTTAATTATGATATTTGCTTTTTTCCCCTAACATTCAAAGCGCCTAGTACATTTGAAATGTACAGTAGTGTATATTATTGCACATTTTCCCAATTTTTAACTCGTACTGGAAAAATATGTGACCACTATTATAGAATGGATGTTTAAATGCATTTTGAATCTGACTTTGTTTTTTGCTCTAACTCTAACGCAAATATGAGCATCTTACCTCTTAGGAAGCCTACTGCTCTTTCGGGATGGGCGCACAGGAAACAGCCCCACTTTAAGGCGCCTGAGCCTGAGTCCAGGGTATCGGCAGATCCTCCAATATTCGGCGGACAGATTTGAAATACGTCGAAGTATCCGGAATGTCTAAGTTCGTTTACTAGAGAGTCTTGGTCCTTCGTACAAGGAAAGGCGCTTGTCACAACCGTCAGAAACGTCTTGTTCTCGCATTTCAGTATGTCCCAACAATGCTTCAAACTGGCCACTTGGGCGTCTCGGGAGCTTAAAGCGTGCGAGTGACGTGCCTGAGAAAACGTAAGGTTAGGAAACATGAATTACGGTTTTATTCCTAATTACCTGTAGCGAAATAAACATTAAGTGAATCCAAATCCTCGGATTTCTGGTCCTCATTGTGAAGTAAGTCTTGGAATAGAGACAGTGTTGTCCTCTAGCTTGACAAGCAAAGTGTAATTTCGCCGACTTTTTCTGTCTCTTCTCCTCAATAGTACATTTCGCTGGTGATGGGATTTTCAGCGACACGTTTTCCATGTACACTTTTATTTTGTCCAAGTGTTTCTCACAGAAATGCTGGATGGTGTCTCTCATTGGATAAGGCTCGAAAACGCTCATTCTCTGATTCGCTACGGAGTTCTGATTTATCATTGTTACGCTGGTGTTGTTGGTTCGACGTGAAATTACCGTTGTCGGCCCACTAACATTGACGTTGCCTATAAAACAGACAATACGAAGGCAAAATTATTTAAGTGCAGATTTAGTGATTTCGAAATGAATATATTCCTTCAAATAGTTCATGGCAAACGAAGAAATCAATAAACAGTTTCATATAGGATCGGACGCCTTGTTGCCAATGTTGCTTTAGGTATAATTAAAATATATCTCAAATTAAATGTGTACAGTTCTTTAATTATTTTTTATCAACTCATAAATTTGTGATTTTTAATTTGAGGCAAAAGTTTTACAAATATTTCAAGCTTTAGCATATGAAAAGAGTTTGCAGAAACTGAATGCCTTGTTGCCAATGCCGTTTTAGGTATAATTAATAATGTACATCAAATTAAATGTTACAACTTACTACTTCCCATTCCTGGAATCCCCGATGTACTGTTAGTCACATTTAGTGGTTCTAGCATTGGCGGTGGAGTGTGTACTATACTGTTACCAACGGGTATAGTCTGCGTTACCGTATTGTTGATCCCACTCGTTAAAATCGATACTTGACCACTGGAAATAGGCCCGGTATAACCAGAACTCACCGTTACGGTGTTATTAATTTGCAAAGGGGGCGGTGTAAGTAATATTGGGCTTCCCACCTACGAAACGTAATCATTAACATATGTCTACTTTTCACTATTCCTCTTACCTGGTTCGTATGATTCGTAATTAGAGTGAGGGGCCCCTGACTTAAAGGTCTCTGTATCCTAGGCGGTGATATAGTAGTCACGGTCACGCCCCCGCTAGAGACTCTAACATTAGACCCGGGCCATTTGCTGGAATTCGCCACGACCACGTTGTTTGAGAGAGGAGATGTAGGTACGACACCGGAGTGCCCTAGGACAGCGTTAATCTGCTGCGAGGAACTTAATCTGGTCATGCTTTTGTGTAAACCACCGACTGAGCCTCCGGCGATGTTAAGTCTTGTCATGCTTCGATGAGTATTGGACGTGGGTGCGGTGTGAAGTCTCCCGGTACTTCGCGAGTCGCCAAGCTTGGCTCGTCGGGTGTACACCCCGGTAGAAGGGGCCGGGGTATGGGGTTGTTGTATTTGATGCTGGATACCGCCAACTTTTACTATCGTGACACCACCCGAAGTGACTTGGTTGTGTATGCTTTGATTCATGGTTTGAGTGATTTGATTTGTACTGAAAGAAATAACTTTTTCGTGAAACTTAAAAGTAAAAGTTTTAATAAGGTTCTGAATATTTTTATAATGTAATTATTTTTACTGCACCTTGTGTGATGTCTCTGCCGAACTCCAGCTAACACCTTGTCCGTGAAAAGAACGGGATAGGAACTACACAACAGTGTGGCTTCCCTCAGTAAAGTACTTTGTGAACCTCGATCTGCCTTGGGTAGATACTCGAGAACAAAGTTTAGTGCGTCTTGGGCACGATCCTATAAAAAGCGTAGGCGATGTAAAAATCGAGAGGTAAAAAGAAACACATCCGTTTACCTTACTGAGTTTTCCAACTGCGCCGATAATTTGAGCAGCTAAACAGATAGTTTGAGGGTGTCGTTGCGCAGACTGTTTCATGGCGTTGATGTGATCTGCTAAAAGAGCGGGCTGCTTTTCAGCCATATAAAGGAATACTTGTAAGGTCGGAGCAGCTGTTACTGAACTACTTAAGTACTCACATAGTTGGGGGACACTCGCTTCCAATAGCTACAGCGTAAACGTAAAGATGAATTCGGTTTAAATTTATATGATTTTTGGGGGTAGAACATCAAATGTATGACTGGAATTTAATTATTTGTACTTACAGAAGGATTGTCCTTGGCCATTAGAGAAAATAGGTGCAACAAAGCTAATTTTTCTTGATTATCACAGTGAGGGAGAAGTGACACTAGCGCCATTGCGTGTCCTTGGAATGGTTCAGGCGAAACTTCATATATATTAGGTAAAACTCTACATAAAGGATAGTTTCCTGTGGGTAAAAACAACCAAAATTAAACAGAAGTTGCAAATTGTATAAGGAACTATCTACAATTTCAATTTTCTCAATAAAAAAATGTATACCAGATATTATTGAATCCATAATAGGTTGTACATGTGGCGTTAGAAGCGAAGCGTGCTCCATAGCAGCTAACGACAAATAAGATGCCATATTCCTGGATAATTCCTTATTTCCTTTGTGTAAAAATTTTACGGCTACAGGTAAAGCTCTCTGCATTACAGTTTTTTTGCTATAGTTCTGAAAATATTAATTTGACGATAATCAAATACAACCGAGGTACCTACCCTAAAATTTAACTTACTAAGAATATACATGATATAATATCACTCGATATCTTGGCGTGCGGGGGGTCTTCGTCTCTTGCAGAGACTTGAAGATTGTGATGTAAACATGATTCTAGAAGAGTTACTAACGCCTCGCAGTGTTGTTCGACACTACCCGTTTCTCTGATACAAGATGTAACTCGAGTGACGCATATTTCGACAACACTTTGATCATTGTCATTATTAACATAATCGGGAAGAGAGGCAATCGTTGTTATCTCTTTTAACTGAAGAAAAAATATTAAATAATTAAAATCAGTACTCGTTCCACAAGGAAGGTGCAATACAAATTTATATTCGTTAAAATGTTGTTTATTTATAAAGCAAATATCCCAATTATCAAGTATGTCTCAAATGTTGACATAGTGTTTAAATTTGTAATAAAAATAAGAAATATTTGAAAATTTAACAGAAATGCTAATTTTATAGCAGCTAAGAAAAAATCAGTTGGTGATTTTATGTAACCGACTATCGACACTCATTTTTCTTAAAAATAAAGTTATATAACGATAGTAGGATAACTAGATTATTTTTGTTTTAACTTATAAATATATTAAAGCATACATTAATAAATTTAAACTTAATGTAAATACACAAAAATTACACACATTCCCTAAATGAAATGTTAGATTTATATAAATAACTCACTATATGTAATTTTAACAGTTTCTCAAAGTAATCCTACAAGCTTTTAGTGTCACAATTACCTTAATAACCAGTCAAACTTCAGAATGAAAATGTTAGATGGCGGCTTTTTCATGAAATCCGTATCATCCTTATTTATACTATGAATAAGGGCGACAAAAATTAAATACTAGTGTCGCCATCTAGCATTTTCATTCCTAGCCTGGCTGGTTGTCGAACTACATTATAATAATTGCCAAGGGTTAAAATAATACATGTGAATTACTACCAGCAATTTGTTCTCCTGGAATTTTACATTTCATACCATTTTTATAACGTTTTTTTTTACTGGGACTTCAAATTGGTCGAAGCCGGTCCTGATTTGCCGTAAAGGCTTGTGTAAAAATAGGCGGAGTGTACATAATCACCACCTCCTACCCACGGTTTTATGACAAGACAAAAGTAGTAACTAGTAAATAAAATGTTGTGAATTGTGATTAAAGCTTAAAGCGAAAGGTGTTACTTCATTTTCGCTAATTAATATATTCCTTGAGTTTATAAGAACTTGCGTTGATTGTGTTAATTACCTAATAAATATTTAAGAATGTGATATTTTAAGCTTATATTTAAATCACAACAATATTTACATAATTATTATTAAAATAAGTTTAAAAAACGCCATGGGCAAAATTTTTTTATATAGAAACTTACCACATTAGTTAAATCGTTAACGATAACAGAATCTGGGACGGAAAAAAGGTCCCCAGCACGAGACAAGTCTCTATTTTTCAAAACTTGCATGAACAGTTCGTGCATTTTCCTATTAATTTTTTCCTCTGTAGCGTTGGCACTCATTTTTTAAGTTAAATAACCGATCTGGTCATCGCGGTCGTACGAAAAATAAACACAATCTGCAAAATATTTTGCACCCGATTAATAAACTGGAACAACTGGTATTATCATACTGTAAAATTTCCTGGTACATTTACACTCGAAAAGGACATTTTACACATGATTTCGGCCGTTTTCCATTGGCACACAACTGTAGAAATGCAACATATTTCTGCGTTGGTCATTGACTTTACCTCAGTTAACATAAATCTGATGGTAACATTTTACCAGAGTGTAGTGCATTCACAGGTGGTTTTTCACCTGGGCATGCGCACGATACCTGGCTGAGTAGGTACGTATTTCATTAAAATATATGGGATGGGCGTGCCAATGAGCCAAATACTAGAAGAACGGGATCTTTTCCAGCTTCTTTCATTAAGCGGAGGCATATGCGTAAATTCTTTTATATTCAGCACACGGCCTGGCTGACCTAGGTAAGTTGTCAGTTGACGTGTTTTTATACATTAAAAAAAGTACAGGTTGTAAACGTGCCTAAGCCTGAGGTCTCCATAGGCGTAGAGTGGAATGGGCAGAGTTTGTGTGTGCTATAGCGGAAAACGCTCAAATCCTCACAAAATTTCTCCCACCCCTATTTTCAGGATGCTAAGTACGAATCTGAAGGAAATAATATTTGTTTATGGTTTCATATTTCTGCTAGAATTTTACAAAACTGGCATTATTGGGTAACCAGCGCAGTTACTTTATATATTTCCACCAAAATAATCGGAATTATTCATTATAGGCTACATATATTGGAATATTAACAAAAAAATTAGGTCAGAATAAAAAATACCCAGTATGGCAGCTGTAAGACGATTTCTTTTGTTTATTTGACTTTCAATATGTCTTTTACGTTTAGAGGAAGCCTAGCAAAAATGAAAAAACTGCAATTCACTATGCACAACATGGAACTGCCACTACCTCGACATCGTATTTTCTCATCGAAGTGTTAAACACTAATAATGGGGAAGGAAAAAAACAAAATATCATTTTTTAAGTATTCCAGTATGTACACATAAAATATGATGTATTTTTTTGTATTCAATATATTAATCAAATAAAAGCAGGTAGATACATTTATAAAGAACAATTTAAAGATATACAATTTATATACACTTATATCGGACAAGTTTAATTTTCTCTTAATTTCTTTTTTAAAGACTCTAAAGCTTTTATTCTGGCATTAACGGCTTTTAATCTTTCTTCTAAATCGTCACACAGTGGTCGCGCTACCTTAGAAACGATATGCACTAAAGCTAGTGTTTTGAAAGAATCGTTATGTAGACTGGCTAATTCGTCTTGAGTGTTGCTATCCTTTACGTCATGAGAATCAACTTCTTCTTGTACTAGTATGCGGGGTAAGTTTGAAATACCTACAAAACAAATGATATCTTTGTTATACAACTTTGCCCTTCAGATATACTCACCTTCTAAATTATAGTTTTGCAACGGAGAACTTTTTATAACAAATTCAATTTCTCGTCTTTCTAATTCCGACGTTCCCTGATAGGCTTGGAAACACGTAAGTTGTACTTGATTGCTTCTTAGCCTTGGGTCACTTTGAAATACAGAGAAAATCATGCCCACGAACAATGGATCCATCGTTTGATACATTGCCTGTGTTCTTGTGTCTGAAAATAAAGTATTTATGTATATTAGAACTAAAAATTTAATCAGCAATTTTACCAACATGACTGGGCCATACTGTTATGTGCGGATGCGAATGGTACCAACCCAGTACCCTCATGGGTCTTTTCAATTTATTAGCAAGTTGTTCGGCGTGCATCGATGCCGTACAAAGTTGTTCGGGGGATATTTCAACTCTATCTGGCTGCTTATCCATGCGATGTAAAATTACACACGCAGATATATGAGAGATATATTTCTCTTCGTCGACCTAAAATATCTTTACCATGTATTCACAATTATATATTCTAGAGATAATGATATACTTCTCCTATAAGTAACCCCATTATTTCCTGTTTCTCTGTTGTCAGAGCGTGCTGAACACAAATTGCGTAGACGTCGGCATTCAAAATAACTTTCCTCAGGTACTTTTCAGAAATCATTTTATATTTTGCTGATTACTGATTAGTGACTAGTTAAGTAAATTTAAATGAGGTTACAAATTTTGACAAATGACACTGTTGGTTGACAGATCAACTCCACCATAAACTACTAACGAATCAAGATGGCACAATCTAAATGGATAGGTGTGTTCACATTTTAGTTAGTGAGATGGAGGATGGAGGTCTCTGATCGCGAAATAGCCGCCATTAAATATACGACAGCGTAGCATATAAAACAATGTAGCCACTAAGGCTCGTCATGTGTGGTGTTTGGATTTTAATATATTCTCTTTAGAGAAGGAATATGGCATCATTGAAACAATTGCTTACATCATTTGATCTCCCCAAAGTTATTTGTTAACTTTGCTCACAGTTTTAGAAGTTAGGTTGTCTGCAGCTAGGGGACAGCACGGTAAACGACGTTAGACTAAGAAATGGTGCTTAAAATAGGCAGTTTGTTATTTAAACCCAAGGTTTCTAAACAGATCTGCCTCTCTAGATCTCGAAGGCCTACAAATGTCAAAATTTGTACTGCAATTGGCGCTTTATTTAAAATTTTAATTTTTACAAACTGTATATTATTTATCGTATTTTCATTTGCGGATGCAAGTAAAATACTGGGAAATACCTTACTCTCGGGCATATTTGGAGAAAATATTCCATTTTATATTTCTAAAAGCTATGAATTCATCAACTTATTATTTCTAATTTATTACTGCAATTTAGATTAGTGCAGAGGAAAAACCTAACATGAATTTGACAGGATATATGTATTTAAATAAAAAAATGAAGAAAATAAAATATTTTATTGAAATGATGATTACCAAAACCACTTTATAAAAGTTATACACCTAGATATGGCAAATATGGATACGATGAGTCAATATAATTCTTTCCTACATCAGTCTATACACAATAAAAATTCTCTACACACCAAGTATACAAAATATAAAAAAATAATACAACAAAAATTGAAATATGATGCTTAAGCGCCAAGTTTCTTCTTCAAGTTTTCCGCTAATTTGTCCATGAATTCGAACGTTTCCAGGTAATCTGCCCTTTGAACCTTGCTCATGCCTTTGATGCAAATAGCCAAGTCTTTCGTCATAAAACCGGATTCGATAGTCTCGATACAGACGGCTTCCAACTTATTAGCGAAATCCGCTAACGCAGCATTGTTGTCCAATTTCGCTCTCTGCAACAAACCCCTTGTCCACGCGAAGATGGAAGCTATGGGGTTCGTAGAAGTTTCCTTTCCTTGCTGGTACATCCTGTAATGACGGGTAACTGTACCGTGGGCAGCTTCTGACTCTACGGTTTTCCCATCTGGACAAATGAGTACAGAGGTCATAAGGCCAAGGGACCCGTAACCCTGAGCAACCGAGTCCGACTGTACGTCTCCGTCGTAGTTTTTGCAAGCCCACACAAAACCACCTTCCGACTTCATGGCGTAAGCTACCATGTCATCGATGAGACGGTGTTCGTACCAGATTTTCTTCGCCTCGAAACGTGTTTTGTATTCTCTGTCGTAAATGTCTTGGAAAATGTCTTTGAAGCGACCATCGTAGCGTTTCAGGATTGTGTTCTTTGTGCTCAGGTAGAGGGGATATCCTCTTTCCAAGGCGTATTGTAGCGAAGCGTGAGCGAAAGGTATAATGGATTCGTCTGTGTTATACATACCTGGAACATTAAGGAGTGATTATTTATTTAAAACAGTACTCGCCTTAAAAAACTGATAACGAGACAGGATGAGAAAATCTATGTAATGTTTTTAAATATTTGTCCATGAAAATTGTGATTTTTTTTCACGATATTCAACTAATTAGGTTTAGTCTACACTAATTTTAACACTACGAATAGGATACGACAAATGTCAACAATATATGTATTTATCTTGAGCTTCATCCAAAATCAATTTAATTGCAACTTATAAAAGTAAAAAAAAAAACAAGATTTTGTTAATATTGCATTTTAAACATGAGGCTGAAGACTTTTCTTGTCTTGCGCATTTATGACTATGCCACTGGATTCTGCACCCCCTCAATGTGGTTTGTACAAAATTTCAGGAAAAAATATTCCTAGCTCACTATAAAATTAATATTAAGTTTTATAATTTCTGTTCCTTGTTAAAAGGAGCAGAAATTTTTACCTTGAAACATAAAAGTAGATCTGATAATACCAATAAATAACCTTTACAGATAACATTTTAATGAAACAATTTTAAGTGCTCTGCTTGTGATTTATATTTTAAAATAATTAATTTAACAATCTAAACTGAGTGAAATATAATTTTTTTGGGGGTCTAATTTATTATTTATTTTATTACATTACCTACTATTTATCAAATTTTTTTTGTCAAATCAAATAAAAACTTAAAAATAAGACTTATTTGTTGGATTTTAAGAAATAAAATTTTTCATTTTACTATCTATTAACTTTGCCCTTATTATTTTGTTATTGCAATTTATTATAATAACACATTTCATAACACATTGTGAAAAACAGGGTTACAATACATTATGAAGCAATATCGTATTAAATCTTTTATATGTAAATTTAATTTTTCATATTTTCAGTTACGACAGATATCTTTGTACTCTATTACACAATTATTTCTAAAATGAATTAAAAACAAATTACGGGTAATTCAAAGTAAACACTTAAAATATCGTGGATATTATCTGAAGCATATAGTTGTTACAACTAATATTTGTGATAAAATATTAAGTCTTTGTTAACTCTTCTATTTCAAATAGATTTGCAACACGTACAAATATTTGATTATTTTGGAATAATTAATATATTTTCAATTTAATACACAAAAACAAGAAAATATCAAAAACTCTTTTCCTGTAATCTGAGCAAATTATATCATGAATTAGTCTAAAAAAATTTAAAACATTTAGTGTCTCTTATCTTGTGTTTATATTTTAGTAATCTTTGTACCATTAAAAAAAGTATCTCCCAGACGTGTGTGATAAAAATATCTATGCTTAATCTAATGTACTCTTAAATCTAAACGTATTTGTTCCAATAATTTCATATCATCACATTATTCTTTTTAAATAAACTTTGGAACGTAGATATGTATATTTAATAAGAAAAATGTATTTCTTTAACAGCTGTAAACCAACGAATGCATGGATTTTATGATTAAATTACAGACTTACCTAGGGCAACACCAGGGCCTTTATATTCATGAACGACGTGTTTGATTTGACTACCAGAAGGAGGGGTAAAAATTAATTCTAGCTTTCCTTCACCGGGTATTACGAAGTCTGTAGCCTTGTACTGATCCGCATGGGCGTGCCTTCCGATAATAATGGGTTTCTCCCAACCCGTTACTAATCGGGGTATGTTTTTACAGATTATAGCTTCTCTAAATACTGTTCCGCCTAAAATATTTCTAATTGTACCGTTCGGGGACTTCCACATTTGTTTTAGTTTAAATTCTTCTACTCTCTTTTCGTCTGGTGTAATCGTTGCACATTTGATTCCTACACTGTATTTTTTTACTGCCTCCGCACAATCAATGGTTACCTGATCATTGGTCTTATCTCGGTTTTCAATACCTAGATCGAAAACTTTTAGGTCAATGTCTAAGTATGGTAGGATTAATTTTTCTTTAATAGCATCCCAAATAATCCTGGTCATTTCATCGCCAAGGATATCTACCACAGTACCTGCCTTAATTTTTCCCATTTTTACCTAAAATAGAAATAATTATTGCAAAAAAAAAGTTTATAAACACTAATCCTCTCGATTACAATACAGAGTTACATTTCAAAATTATTTTAATCTATTACCTTTTATTATTGTGTCTTATACCACTGCTCACAACTTGTCACAGCAATAATTACTCGACAACTAAAATGTATCAAATGAAAGCTCAAACCAGTACTTATTCTTATTACTTAATATTCATCGATGACTTGCATTAGTTGATTACGTGTCGACAACAGACAAACATCAATTTTTTAAATTATTATTCTGTAATTCTGTATCTTCTGTATCTGTATTCTGTCACAAATTGAGGCCGCCACAAACCACAGACGAATAGCTATCAAGTAGGCAACACAACACGCGCCATTATTCTATGGCTAGAAATTGGCCTCAATGATTTGGGATCGAGGGGGATTATCCCTCTTTATCCTGCC